AGAGCGAGAGAGAGAGACAGAGACAGAGAGAGAGAGAGAGACAGCGAGAGAGAGAGAGCGACAGCGAGAGAGAGAGAGAGAGAGAGAGAGAGACAGAGAGAGAGAGACAGAGAGCGAGAGAGAGAGACAGAGAGAGAGACAGAGAGAGAGAGGCGGAGACAGAGAGAGACAGAGAGCGAGAGAGAGAGACAGAGAGAGAGAGGCTGAGACAGAGAGAGACAGAGAGCGAGAGAGAGAGACAGCAGAGAGAGAGACAGAGAGAGAGAGGCAGGAGACAGAGAGAGACAGAGAGCGAGAGAGAGAGACAGAGAGAGAGACAGAAGAGAGAGGCGGAGACAGAGAGAGACAGAGAGCGAGAGAGAGAGAGAGACAGGAGAGACAGAGAGAGAGGCGGAGACAGAGAGACGAGAGGAGAGAGAGAGCAGAGAGAGAGACAGAGAGAAGAGAGGGGGAGACAGAGAGAGACAGAGACAGAGAGAGACAGAGAGAGAGACAGAGACAGAGAGAGAGACAGCAAGAGAGAGAGAGAGAAGAGAGAGAGAAGAGAGAAGAGAGAGAGAAGAGATAGAGAGAGAGAAGAAGACAGAGAGAAGAGAGAGATGACGCAGAAGAGAGAGAGAAACAGAGAGAGAGAGAGAGAGAGACAGAGAGAGAGAGAGAGAGAGAGAGAGCAGAGAGAGCAGAAATAGAGAGAGGATGAAGAGAGAAGAGAGAGAGAGATAGAAGAGAGAGAGAAGAGAGAGTATAGAGAGAGAGAGAGATAAGAGAGAGAGAGAGAAGATGCAGAGAGAGATGAGACAGACATAGTAGAAGGAGAGAGATCGCAGAGATAGAGAGAGAATGAGAGAATCAGAGAGAGAGAGAATGATCAAGAATGAGATTATAGACTAGAAGAGAGAGAGAGATCCAGAGAAAGATCTAGAGAGAAGAGAGAGAGAGTAGATAGAGAGATTCGATTTCAATGATTATGATGATTCATGAGTAGTAGAGAGACAGAGAGAGGAGTGTGTATGAATCAGTGTGAAATTTCAAAGGTTCAGAACTGTGTGTGCGTGTGTATGCTCATTCATATCTTTTTCAGGTAAAAGCTGTGTGGCTGGCATTAGCCAGACTGATTAATGTCTATGGTATTTTACAGAGTAGACCAGCCAATTCCACTCTCCTAGTTTACAGACCAGGCCAGGCAGAGATATACCAGGGCCCTGTGTTTTGCACAATCATGTGACATGGAAAGATTTTATCCTGTATTATAAGCCTTTACCAGGAATGAGAATTTCACCAAAATGAAAGCAATTGTCTGAGGATGGTACTGGAGGATGGTGCTGGAAGATGGTGCTGGAGGATGGTGATGGAGGATGGTGCTGGAGGATGGTACTGGAGGATGGTGATGGAGGATGGTGATGGAGGATAGTGATGGAGGATGGTGATGGAGGATGGTGATGGAGGATGGTGAAGGACAATCTGATATAAAAAGAAATGGAACAGTTTGATGAAAAATAAATGTTAAGATCCAGGTCATGTGACATGATTGTGCGTGTCACACAAGGCCCTAAATATAAGAAATGGGACTTTAACGGTAGACTCAGCAAGATGACGTTGCAATGCAGCAGCACTGTCCGCAAGTAACGAGATGCGTGACTTTCACACAGGTCACACAGAGTATATATAATGAGCACGGGTAGCTACAGGACCAAACACTGGAGGAGTTCAGCCTCACGCTTCAACGCTCTTAGTTGTTGTGGAAATGCACCTGATATTGTGTTTACTTTGTGTTTACAACGTCATCTGGCTGAGTACACCTTTAACAGGCAGAGAAGACTGTGCTGTACTGCAGTGGTGCTCAACCCTCTCCTCGGAGACCCCCAGACCTTATCCAATGTTGCAGTAGCCCTGAACTAGCTCACCTCATTCAGCAGGTCAAGGGCTTGATGAGTAGATGATGATTAGTTGAAGTGAAACTAAAGGAGAGTGTTATTACTGTTTTCACCAGGTTATTTCTTAACGAATATATATATATATATATATATATATATATAGATATATATATATATATATATATATATATACATATATATATATATCAATATAATAAATGAATACATGAACATGAAATTCAACCAGCAGCATATGAAGGCATATTCAAGTGAGAGACAGAACATATTAAACACCACCTCTTTAAGTCCTCAACACCAAAACATTAGTATTTAATAAGCATACATGTTGTTACTGTGCTAGAGCAGTTGTATTGTACATTATATTGTCTAACGTTGTACAGTATATTGTTTTGTACTGTATTGTCTAGTATTGTCTAGTATTGCATTCAATGTACTGTATTGTATTATACTGTATTGTATTGTACTGTATAGTATTGTATAGTACTGTATTGTATTGTATTGTACTGTAATGTGTAGTATTGTATTGTATTGTAACGGTACACATATATTATCGTCATGAGGCAGTGTTAAAGTGTTCTTATCAGACAATCAAACATCTGATCAAAACAAACATTACTGAACATGAACCTTAATCTGTATTATAAATATAATAATAATATATGACATCTTACATCTCCAAATATGCTTTCTTTTTGTTGCATATTCAACATCACAATGTAAGGGCATGTTTTAATAATATCCATAATAACTTACTGAATACAGAGCAATAATATCCCTGCACCCAACAGACTGGAAATATCACAACTCATATACGGAAATATATATTTAATATATTTAGTAATAGTATTGAATATATACTTTCATCAATACATACTTTAATCTCCTATACCTTCCCTCCCAAAAAACAACCTCTTTCTATCACAGTTCAAGGTCAAATATATTAATACAATCTTCTTTTTATTTTATTTTTATAAACCTTTGAATATATATTTTGTTGTGTCGCTGGTATGTCTATAATGTTCTTATCATCTGTTCAGGTTTCTTACGAATCTTCATCGTCTTTTTACATCAGTCCTTCCATATACTTCTTCAAGGGTCCAAAAAACGCAGTGAGGCCTTTCTGAAGTCTTTACTGTGCTTCCGGTGAGGTTTGGGATGCGTCCCAAATCACACCCCATTCCCTTCATAGAGTACTACGGCACATAGAGCTCTGGTTAAAGTTAGTACACTACATAGGGAATATAGTGCCATTTGGGACACGTCCCCTGTGATAGCACATACAGTGGCTTGCGAAAGTATTCACCCCCCTTGGCATTTTTCCTATTTTGTTGCCGTACAACCTGGAATTAAAATTGATTTTTTGGGAGGGTTGTATCATTTGATTTACACAACATGCCTACCACTTAGAAGATGCAATATATATTTTTTTTTTGTGAAACAAACAAGAAATAACACACAAAAAAACAGAAAACTTGAGCGTGCATAACTATTCACCCCCCCCCCCCCCCCCCCCCCCCCCCCCCCCCCCCCAAAATCAATACTTTGTAGAGCCACCTTTTGCAGCAATTACAGCTGCAAGTCTCTTGGGGTATGTCTCTATAAGCTTGGCACATCTAGCCACTGGGATTTTTGCCCATTCTTCAAGGCAAAACTGCTCCAGCTCCTTCAAGTTGGATGGGTTCTGCTGGTGTACAGCAATCTTTAAGTCATACCACAGATTATCAATTGGATTGAGGTCTGGGCTTTGACTAGGCCATTCCAAGACATTTAAATGTTTCCCATTAAACCACTCAAGTGTTGCTTTAGCAGTATGCTTAGGGGCATTGTCCTGCTGGAAGGTGAACCTCCGTCCCAGTCTCAAAACTCTGGAAGACTGAAACAGGTTTCCCTCAAGAACTTCCCTGTATTTAGCACCATCCATCATTCCTTCAATTCTGACCAGTTTCCCAGTCCCTGCCGATGAAAAACATCCCCACAGCATAATGCTGCCACCACAATGCGTCACAAAATTAGTACACTACATAGGGAATATTGTGCCATTTTGGGACACGTCCCCTGTGATGAACAGGAAGAGGAGGAGCTGTCTGGTTCCATCTCCACATTGGATTGAATCTCTAATGTAGGGCACTACTTTTGTAGGGCACTACTTTTGTAGGGCACTATGTTTGTAGGGCACTACGTTTGACCAGAGCCTGAAGTACATGAAGAATAGGCTGTCATTTGAGACTTTACATAACTCCATCTATCTCATCATCGCTCCACCTGCCACCCTGTCTACATAACTCCATCTATCTCATCATCGCTCCACCTGCCACCCTGTCTACATAACTCCATCTATCTCATCATCGCTCCACCTGCCACCCTGTCCACATAACTCCATCTATCTCATCATCGCTCCACCTGCCACCCTGTCTACATAACTCCATCTATCTCATCATCGCTCCACCTGCCACCCTGTCTACATAACTCCATCTATCTCATCATCGCTCCACCTGCCACCCTGTCCACATAACTCCATCTATCTCATCATCGCTCCACCTGCCACCCTGTCTACATAACTCCATCTATCTCATCATCGCTCCACCTGCCACCCTGTCTACATAACTCCATCTATCTCATCATCGCTCCACCTGCCACCCTGTCTACATAACTCCATCTATCTCATCATCGCTCCACCTGCCACCCTGTCTACATAACTCCATCTATCTCATCATCGCTCCACCTGCCACCCTGTCTACATAACTCCATCTATCTCATCATCGCTCCACCTGCCACCCTGTCCACATAACTCCATCTATCTCATCATCGCTCCACCTGCCACCCTGTCCACATAACTCCATCTATCTCATCATCGCTCCACCTGCCACCCCTGTCTACATAACTCCATCTATCTCATCATCGCTCCACCTGCCACCCTGTCTACATAACTCCATCTATCTCATCATCGCTCCACCTGCCACCCTGTCTACATAACTCCATCTATCTCATCATCGCTCCACCTGCCACCCTGTCCACATAACTCCATCTATCTCATCATTGTCCGTGTCACACGACACCCTGTCCACATATGTACAGGATAGCGGACTACTTCTTCAGACCAAAGCATTACACTATATACACCTCTCCTAACCTGAACCATCGGTACCGGAAATACAAAACTGACCCAAGATCTGGATCTTCTTCACAAACTTCACCAACTTCTCAACACTAGGATTGTACAATTCTGGTCACTTTTCCAAAAATTCCCAGGTTTTCCAGAAATCCTGGTTGGAATATTCCCAATGTGCTGCTCATCGTCCCCTTCTGATTCCCAGAGCTTTACAACCAGGATTTCCGGGAAAAACTTGGCATTTTTGGAAGGTTACTGGAATTTCACAACCCTCTCCCCCCTCTCTCTCAGCACTGTTCCTCCCCCAGGGACTCCGAGTTCTCTCCCAGGTCGATGGAACCTGAGTGCCCCCTCATCTTCCCTTTCCCTGGTACTCCAAGCAGCCCGGACCCCACCAGGCCTCCCCCAACACCTCCAGGACCCCCAGGCAGCCTTCCTCCCCCGTGCCCAGGGTAGACCTCCATGGAGCTGGAGATGGACTGGAGGGAGCGGTCCCTGAAGTAGTGGAAGGCATCCTGGTCGAGGTAGTTCTGCTCCTCCCTGAGACCCTGCTCGAACAGTTTGCGCTTGTGCCGGAACTCGATGACCGTCTTGGTGTAGGAGTTGAGGGTGGTGACGGAAGCTGCCATGCAGCAGGTGAAGGAGCCCCACGCCAGGCTGAGAGAGAGAGAGAGAGAGAGAGAGAGAGAGAGAGAGAGAGAGAGAGAGAGAGAGAGAGAGAGAGATGAGAGAGAGAGAGAGAGAGAGAGACTGATTCAGCCAATAGAAATACCTCTTCCTCCTCGTGTGTGTGTGAGCATGTGTCCCAGACAACAGCTGTCTTCTCTAGCTCTAGACGTGGAAGGTGGAAAGTCAAGGAGAATCTAAGGCACACTCATTAACCAAGGCAGCGTCCCAAATTATACCCTATGCCCATAAGGCGGAGTGATAAAACTCTGGCCAAAAGTAGTGCACTATGTAGGGAATAGGGTGCCATTTGGGACGCATCGCCTAGAGAAAACAGCCATATGTGTTGGTGTTTATAAATACGGGTGGGTTGATATGGACACAACGGTCGGTCGTCAGCTGGTTTCTAGATGGAGATGTTGCTTGTGTTCCGAGATGGGAGTTGGACAGTATAGAATGGCATGGAATGAATAGAACTTCTAGAATGCTCAGTACATTCTGGAATCACTGGTTTATATACTACACCCTTTGTTGCTGCTTTTTGACTGTGACACCAGTGTTTCACTGGAGAAATGTACAGTCAGTAACCACTCATATTCAGACTCTGATATGTCATCACTCTTACCAAAACACACACACACACAGACACTATGAGTACTGACCAGAAGGACCAGCCGTAGTCCCAGGAGTGGGGTCTCCAGTCTTCAGGACCTAGACTCACTGTGATCTGGAACACCTGGGTGTACATCATGTGAGCCACCATGCCTAGCAGACCTGAGGAGACGCACACACAGAGGTTAGACACACACACATACACACACACACAGAGGTTTAAACACACACACATACACACACACACAGAGGTTTAAACACACACACATACACACACACACACACACACACACACACACACATACACACACACACACACACACACACACACACACACACACACACACACACCACACACACACACACACACACACACACACACACACACACACACACACACACACACACACACACACACACACACACACACACACACACACACACACACACACACACACACACACACACACACACATACACACACAGAGGTTTATACACACACACACATAAACAGTTACATAACAAACTAAATCCTCCCCTCACCTCCATTAATAACTTAACATTAAACTCATAACTCACACTAGACTGATTCATCTGTATGACCTGTCATATATATTACATTATATATGGTAATTACTCATAAACACACTGCCATCTGTATGACCTGTCATATATTACATTATATATGGTAATTCCTCATAAACACACTGCCATCTGTATGACCTGTCATATATTACATTATATATGGTAATTCCTCATAAACACACTGCCATCTGTATGACCTGTCATATATTACATTATATATGGTAATTCCTCATAAACACACTGCCATCTGTATGACCTGTCATATATTACATTATATATGGTAATTCCTCATAAACACACTGCCATCTGTATGACCTGTCATATATTACATTATATATGGTAATTCCTCATAAACACACTGCCATCTGTATGACCTGTCATATATTACATTATATATGGTAATTCCTCATAAACACACTGCCATCTGTATGACCTGTCATATATTACATTATATATGGTAATTCCTCATAAACACACTGCCATCTGTATGACCTGTCATATATTACATTATATATGGTAATTCCTCATAAACACACTGCCATCTGTATGACCTGTCATATATTACATTATATACGGTAATTACTCATAAACACACTGCCATCTGTATGACCTGTCATATATTACATTATATATGGTAATTCCTCATAAACACACAGTACACATTAAGTAACATTGATATAGATACTCATTAAGAGGACAACGCTATGTGTTACTGGATTACAACACCAACATGCAGCTGCTGTTTTTATGCGTATAAGATGAAGTGTTTGTGTGTATGCATTTGTGTGTGTGTGTGCCGGTAGACAAATGTAATAATCTCTGAATGTGTCCCAAATGGCATCCGATTCCCTATGTATTCCCTATGTAGTCCCTATGTAGTCCCTATGTAGACACTATGTAGTCCCTATGGGTCCTGGTCTAAAGTAGTGCACAATGTAGGGAATAGGGTGCCAGCTGTCCTGCGGCTAGAGAGAGAGAGGGAGGGGGGGGGGGGGGGGGGAGACTCAGAAAGAGAGAGAGAGAGATACAGAAAGAGAGAGAGAGATAGCCAGAGAGGAGAGAGAGAGACAGAGACAGAAACACAGAAAGAGAGAGAGAGAAAGAGAGGTGTAGAGAGAGAGAGAGAGAGATAGATGTGTGTGTGCGTGTATGTGTGTGTGTTACCTGAGAGCACGGTGAAGACAGCAGCGAAGGCGTTGAGTTTAAGTCCGTCGATGACGTTGCTGGAATGGAAGAGCTCCAGACACATGAGACTGAACCCAACCACCAACAACATGATGTAGAGTATCTCTGATACCACCGACAACCACAGGACCCCTGGGGGACACACACACACACACACACAAATAATGAAACATAAAAGAAAAGTGATCATTTTTCAGATAAAACTATACTAAATATATTCACGTCACCAAATAATTGATTAAAACACACTGTTTTGCAAAGAAGGTCTACAGTAGCCTCAACAGCACTCTGTAGGGTAGCACCATGGTGTAGCCGGAGGACAGCTAGCTTCCGTCCTCCTCTTGGTACATTGACTTCAATACAAGACCTAGGAAGTTCCTCAACCCTTCTATAGACCTATGGCGATTATGACGATCTCCGGCGGGCGTCCTCCAACCAATCAAAGCTTTTGCAGTATGAGCTAACATGCTGTCCATCCAATCAGAGAATGAACCTAATACTAAGTATGTTTTAGAAGCTTGGTGAGTTGGTGACATTGTTAGATAGATTTTGAATTGAGATAGTGAATAGTGGTAGTTGAGCATTTTGGGGATATTTTTTAATTCAAATTAGTTTCTTCAAACTGCAGGATACGGAGGAAGTAGACTATATATTGTTTTCTTGGTTTTAGAACTTTCTTTTTTTGTTGAGTTAATGCAATTTATTTCAATTTGCCTTGCTAACTTTAGTAGCCACTAATTAGCTAGCTACCAGAGTGCAGTTTTCTCTGCCAGAGTGGCTAACGCTAACGACAATGTAGTGGATTTTTTGTTGAAGAACCCCTTTCATTGCCCACATCAGATTCAAGCTTCTGGGAAAAAAGCTGCATGGATCATGAATTGGATGAAGGTCTGCGTCTGGAGGAGGTAAGAAGAAACAGGGATATTCTCAAGCAGCTTATCGACACTACTGCATTAAGATGGCCTTTAGGATGGTTAGTTGCTGAGCACATGGACGTTTCTACTGTCTTCTCTGGGATGTCGAAATCAATTCAGATTGATTGTCAACTCTCTCCTGACAGGAACTGAAGCCATGTCTCATCTGCCCTCTCATCCACTGGTGCATTTCCCCTAGCTTTGGGATGAGGGTTGAATACATCTCTGACACCTTGGGGCAGATCAGGATACATTTCCCTAGCTTTGGGATGAGGATTGAATACATCTCTGACACCTTGGGGCAGATCAGGATACATTTCCCTAGCTTTGGGATGAGGGTTGAATTCACTCTGACACCTTGGGGCAGATCAGGATACATTTCCCTAGCTTTGGGATGAGGGTTGAATACATCTCTGACACCTTGGGGCAGATCAGGATACATTTCCCTAGCTTTGGGATGAGGGTTGAATACATCTCTGACACCTTGGGGCAGATCAGGATACATTTCCCTAGCTTTGGGATGAGGGTTGAATACATCTCTGACACCTTGGGGCAGATCAGGATACATTTCCCTAGCTTTGGGATGAGGGTTGAATACATCTCTGACACCTTGGGGCAGATCAGGATACATTTCCCTAGCTTTGGGATGAGGGTTGAATACATCTCTGACACCTTGGGGCAGATCAGGATACATTTCCCTAGCTTTGGGATGAGGGTTGAATACATCTCTGACACCTTGGGGCAGATCAGGATACATTTCCCTAGCTTTGGGATGAGGGTTGAATACATCTCTGACACCTTGGGGCAGATCAGGATACATTTCCCTAGCTTTGGGATGAGGGTTGAATACATCTCTGACACCTTGGGGCAGATCAGGATACATTTCCCTAGCTTTGGGATGAGGGTTGAATACATCTCTGACACCTTGGGGCAGATCAGGATACATTTCCCTAGCTTTGGGATGAGGGTTGAATACATCTCTGACACCTTGGGGCAGATCAGGATACATTTCCCTAGCTTTGGGATGAGAGTTTGAATACATCTCTGACACCTTGGGGCAGATCAGGATGCATTTCCCTAGCTTTGGGATGAGGGTTGAATACATCTCTGACACCTTGGGGCAGATCAGGATACATTTCCCTAGCTTTGGGATGAGGGTTGAATACATCTCTGACACCTTGGGGCAGATCAGGATGCATTTCCCTAGCTTTGGGATGAGGATGGAATACATCTCTGACACCTTGGGCCAGATCAGGATACATTTCCCTAGCTTTGGGATGAGGGTTGATAGGTTGTACTCTGCTGCTTCTCCCGACCTCATGAAAGACAGTGAACCAAATATATGACTTGTCAGTCAGTATTTTAATGACAGAAACACAAGACATGCATCCCAAATGGCACCCAATATCTCTCTACGTGGTGCACTACTTTTGACCAGGGTCTACACTAGTCCATTTTGACTTTAACCATACAGGTCAAAGGTAGTGCACTATATACGGAATTGGGTGCCATTTGGGAGGCATCCAAGGAGCCAGGAGAGAGAGGGCTCAGTCTGTCAATATACCCTAAGTAGCTGAGACACCGATAACACATTTACTATCTCTGAATTCATTACATTAACAGGAGACACTGTGTGTGTGTGTGTGTGTGTGCGCGCGTCTGTGTTTGTGCGTGCGTGTGTGTGTGTGTGTGTGTGTGTGTGTGTACGTCTGTGTTTGTGCGTGCGTGTGTGTGTGTGTGTGTGTGTGTGTGTGTGGTGTGTGTGACAGAGCTTTTGAAAGTAACCAATCCAAGATAATTAGTTCTGGGGGAATTGCATGTGAATGTAAAAAAGTATTCTTCTTGTTGTTGTTTATAAAGCTCTCAGGTGGCGTCTAGGTGTCAGGAAACAGGTGGCCACATTTTACAAACCTCCTAGACAACAACAGCCATGGAAGAAGAAAACTATGACAGGGAAACGTCAAAGTGAAATAGACAGAATACACCAAACAGCTTGCTGATCCCAGACCAGATTCTATGTAAACGGTGACAGTTGTTGATATTAAATTAAATAGCTAAATAACAAGGAAGTAGAAAAGTAAAACGTTTACTCACTATAGGGACCCTTTTATTCTACTAGGACACCCTCTCTCACTATAGAGACCCTTTTATTCTACTAGGACACCCCTCTCTCACTATAGAGACCCTTTTATTCTACTAGGACGCCCCTCTCTCACTATAGAGACCCTTTTATTCTACTATGACACCCCTCTCTCACTATAGAGACCCTTTTATTCTACTAGGACACCCCTCTCTCACTATAGAGACCCTTTTATTCTACTAGGACACCCCTCTCTCACTATAGAGACCCGTTTATTCTACTAGGACGCCCCTCTCTCACTATAGAGACCCTTTTATTCTACTAGGACGCCCCTCTCTCACTATAGAGACCATTTTATTCTACTAGGACACCCCTCTCTCACTATAGGGACCCTTTTATTCTACTAGGACACCCCTCTCTCACTATAGATACCCTTTTATTCTACTAGGACGCCCCTCTCTCACTATAGAGACCCTTTTATTCTACTAGGACGCCCCTCTCTCACTATAGAGACCCTTTTATTCTACTAGGACGCCCCTCTCTCACTATAGAGACCCTTTTATTCTACTAGGACGCCCCTCTCTCACTATAGGGACCCTTTTATTCTACTAGGACACCCCTCTCTCACTATAGAGACCCTTTTATTCTACTAGGACGCCCCTCTCTCACTATAGATACCCTTTTATTCTACTAGGACGCCCCTCTCTCACTATAGGGACCCTTTTATTCTACTAGGACACCCCTCTCTCACTATAGAGACCCTTTTATTCTACTAGGACGCCCCTCTCTCACTATAGGGACCCTTTTATTCTACTAGGACACCCCTCTCTCACTATAGAGACCCTTTTATTCTACTAGGACGCCCCTCTCTCACTATAGAGACCCTTTTATTCTACTAGGACGCCCCTCTCTTTTGTGGGGAGAAACTCATTCTGATTGGCTGGGCCTGTCTCCCCCATGGCAGCACCCCAGCTCAGTCATGTGAAATCAATAGATTAGGGCCTAATTTATTTATTTAAATTGACTGATTTCCTTATATGAACTGTAACTCAATAAAATCTTTGAAATTGTTGCATGTTGTGTTTAAACAGAGATGACCTTAGTGTAGAGATGAAAGCAGTATTAAACAGAGATGACCTTAGTGTAGAGATGAAAGCAGTATTAAACAGAGATTATGTTAGTGTAGAGATGAAAGCAGTATTAAACAGAGATGATGTTAGTGTAGAGATGAAAGCAGTATTAAACAGAGACGACATCAGTTAGCAATATTGATATCTCTCTTGCTCATCTCATCTTGTTCAGTAAAAACACACTGGTACTCAGGAGCCTCTAGACCAACCAACACACACACAGACACACACGTTATAGACACACACACAATATTGAAACGCACACACATTGTTGAAACACACACACACACCTCTGAGTCTCTACAGCAACCATCACCCCAGCATTAACCAGCAGCTAGCTCAGCATGCTCTCCCTCACAGCACCGTCTCTGACTTAAATCACACACACACACACACACACACACACACACACACACACACACACACTCATGCACATGCGCACGCACAAACACACACACTGTTCAAACACACAGATGAAACACGCACGCACACATTCACTATCTTTAAACACACACACACACATTGTTCAAACACGCACACACACACACATACACACACAGTATCCATCTCTCTCTCTCTCTCTCTCCCTCTCTCGCTCTCATTTCTCTCTCTCTCTCTCTCTCTCTGAGTGCCTGCTCTGTCTACATACCCTGTTGATATCTGTCCTGGATTGAAGAAGTAGCTTGTTGTTGAACAAAAATATAAACACAACATGCAACAATTTCAAAGATTTTACTGAGTTACAGTTCATATAAGGAAATCAGTCAATTTAAATAAATTCATTAGGCCCTGATCTATTGATTTCACATGACTGGGTAGGGGAGCTGCCAGGCCCCCTACCCAGTTTTTCCCCACAAAAGGGCTTACAGACAGAAATACGTTTTTTCTGCGTATGGAACATTTCTGGGATTTTTTTTATTTCAGCTGATGAAACATAGGACCAACCCTTTACATGTTGTGTTTATATATTTATTCAGTGTACATGGTTGTCAAACTACACACCACAGGGGAGATAACACCGCTTGTATCTGCGTCCCAAACGGCAGCCTATATTCCCTGTACAGTGCACTGGCTTTGACCAGGGCCCTGATCAAAAAGTAGTGCACTATATAGTGAATAGGGTGCCATTTGAGACTTAACCGTAGACTCCACAGAGAGTTTCCCCTAATCAAACTTCTCGCCCACCATACTGTATGGAATAAAGATCCTACAGATAGAGAGAAGGAGACGATAGAGAGAGAGAGAGAGAGAGAGAGAGAGAGACGAGAGCCCATTGATAGAGATTGATGGCATGAGCTATAGAGAGCGCGCAGCTCTCTCCTCGATCTATAGAGTAGACTGAGAGAGATCTCTATAGCTTGAGTGATGAGCCTCCAAACGTGCCTTGAGGGGCAAAAACCTGGACAGGGACAAAAAGTTAGCACAAAAAAATATATATAATATCCTTCCAATATCCGTGTTCTCATCTTGAAATGAGCCTGATCTTTCAAGCGGAGAGTATATTCATATTCTATTGGAATTTCATGAGTTCTACTGTTCTACAGACGGAACACCACAAGAGACGTTTGGAATGCAGCCCAGGAACAGGAGGATTCATTAAATGGTGAATCTCTGTCTCTCATTACAAAATAATAGACTGCCTGTTTTAAGCCTAATTAGCCGTCGTGTGCGTCCTAATAAAATCTCCTTTCTCCTGAAGTGTGCATTCATTGACTACTCCTGACAAATTTGTAAGTATTGGATTGGTGTAGGCATTAGCTTCAGGGAGTTTCCATATAGACCTACCCAGGGGTGTCATGCACTCCAAAAATCTGAGGGGGCACAAAGTTTGTGAGGATGGCTGGGGGGGGGTCTATATGGAAGTTGGAGAATTTGTCATTTTCTCAAACACCTGAAACAGCTTTTTCCTGCAATCTAGAGCCATAATCATTATGCTTCATTCTATGTAGAAAATATGTATATTTTTTTGCATATCTAAGTATACTCCTGACTGGTGGTTCTTTTGTTAAAGAAACTAAATATGCTTCTCTGCATCTCTGCTCAAAAGACTGTAAGGAATGTGAGTCTTATTCAGTACATTTAGTTATTGCTTGCTGTTTGAAAGTCTACCAACCTTACCAGCAGGCATGCCAGATAGTTAAATTTTTTACATTTTAGCAGACGCTCTTATCCAATTAGGGTTAAGTGCCTTGCTCAAGGGCACAATGACAGATTTTTCACCTAGTCTGCTCGGGGATTAGAACCAGCGACCTTTCGGTTACTGGCACAACGCTCAATAACCGCTAAGCTACCTGCCGCAAGCAAGCTACTCTAACTTGATTGACAGTCTGAAATGGCTTCTTGGTAGTTAGTTATGAGATTGGGAACCTATCTGGGCCGGCTAAAGTCAACTTGCTAGGTCGCTAGTTGTATCACAGAGAAACAACCACAACAAAACAAAACAAAACAAATATTATTTTATTTTATTTCAAACTGGACAAATCTGAGGGGGCACATGATGCCTCTGGACCTACTACTACTAGTAATTTTCTTTCGAATCCATGAAGGGAAGTGAACAAGTGCACACTTTGGGAGAAAGGAAAGATTATTGACATGCATCGCGTGTGATGAAGTGAGCCTATGCCCAACTGTTGGAAAAGCATTCCACTTTAAGCCGTACACTCCACAGAGCTGGGCTTTATGGAAGAGTTGCCAGAAAAAAGCCATTGCTTACAGAAAAAAATAAGCAAACACGTTTGGTGTTCGCCAAAAGGCATGTGGGAGACTCCCCAAACATATGGAAGAAGGTACTCTGGTCAGATGAGACTAAAATTGAGCTTTTTGGCCATCAAGGAAAACGCTATGTCTGGCGCAAACCCAACACCTCTCATCACCCCGAGAACACCATCCCCACAGTGAAGCATGGTGGTGGCAGCATCATGCTGTGGGGATGTTTTTCATCCTGGTCAGAATTGAAGGAATGATGGATGGTGCTAAATACAGGGAAATTCTTGAGGGAAACCTGTTTCAGTCTTCCAAAGATTTGAGACTGGGACGGAGGTTCCCTTCCAGCAGGACAATGACCCTAAGCATACTGCTAAAGCAACACTTGAGTGGTTTAAGGGGAAACATTTAAATGTCTTGGAATGGCCTAGTCAAAGCCCAGACCTCAATCCAATTGAGAATCTGTGGTATGACTTAAAGATTGCTGTACACCAACGGAACCCATCCAACTTGAAGGAGCTGGAGCAGTTTTTCCTTGAAGAATGGGCAAAAATCCCAATGGCTAGATGTGCCAAGCTTATAGAGACATACCCCAAGAGACATGCAGCTGTAATTGCTGCAAAAGGTGGCTCTACAAAGTATTGACTTTGGGGGGGTGAATAGTTATGCACGCTCAAGTTTTCTGTTTTTTTGTCTTAT